TATTCTATTTATGCCATATATTAGGGCCCCTAGCTTTATCTCTATGTTTTCTTTTATGAACTTTATAGTTTTAGGTTTTACATTTAAGTCTTTGATCCATTTTGAGTTAGTTTTTGTGTATGGGGTGAAGTATGGATTGTGTCTCATTTTTCTGCGAATGGATATCCAGTTTTGCCAGCACCATTTATTGAAGAAACTATCTCCTCCCCCATTTAATGGACTTCAGCCCTTTGTTGAAGATCAGGTGTCTATAGGTGGATGGATTTATTTCTGAGTTCTCAATTCCGTTCCATTGGTCTCTGTGTCTGTCGTTGTACCTGTATCAGGCTGTTTTCACTACCATAGTTGTATAGTAGGTTCTGATATCGGGGAGTGTGAGGCCTCCTACTTTATTCTTCTTTTTCAGTAATGTTTTACTTATCCAAGGGTTCTTTCCTTTCCATATACAGTCGGTGATTAGTTTTTCCATCTCATTAAAAAATGTTGTTGGACTTTAGATCAGGATTGCATTGTAGCTATAGATTGCTTTGGGTACTGTTGACATTTTCACAATGTTAAGTCTTCCTATTCAAGAGCATAGTATGTTTTTCCATTTATGAAGATGTCTTTTGGTTTCTTGCAGTAGCGTTTTGTAGTTTTCTTTGTATTAGTCATATAAGATGTAAAAGTCCCCAGTTAGGCTTATTCCTAAGTATTTTATCTTTTAAGGGGCTATTGTAAATGGTATTGTTTTCCTGATTTCCTTTTCAGAGTTCTCTTTGTTAGTGTAGAGGAATCCAACTGATTTTTGTATGTTGATCTTGTACCCTGCTACTTTGCTGAATCCTTCTATTAGTGCCAGTAGCTTTCTTGGGGATTCTCTGGGATTTTATGTGTATAGGATCATATCGTCTGCGAATAGGGATAGTTTTACTTCTTCCTTACCAATTTGGATACCGTTTATTTCCCTTTCTTGTCTTACTGCTCTAACTAGGACTTCCAGTACAGCGTTGAATAAAAGTGATGATAAAGAGCATCCTTGTCTGGTTCCCATTCTCAGAGGGAATACTTTCAGTCTCTCTCCATTGAGAATAATGTCAGCTGTTGGTTTTGTGTATGTGTCCTTGATTATGTTGAGGAATTTCCCTTTTATTCT